ATAATAATTATGTTCGTTGAAAAAGTGGGTAACGTCTGGATAACGTCGAAATGTATGTAAATAAATATTACTATATTTTCTTCAACTACATTTTATCTAAATTTGGAATATTATTTGCTAACACACATAGTTTAAACAATGTCTAAGACAATATTATTAATTTAAAACATTAAACTTCCGTATCCATAATTATATTTTAATTAATGAAAACTTTTTTAAGCCTATACTAGTATTATAAAGTTTCAGTTTATTTGAACAATCATTTTTTAGTTGTAAAATTATGTTTCTACAATAAAATTACTCAAATGAGATTGTTCCATAAGGTGATAAAACCTACAATACAAACATAGCAGCAATTTACCACGTCGATGTACTCAAGTCTTTTTACCATAATATTCATTATCAAGTTCAGGATTTCCTTAAAGGTATAATCCCTTCGAAGAAAAATCTCTACCTAATATTCATAATAAACCTAGCTCTAGTTAATATGTAGAAGAAATTTAAAGAGGTGAAGTAATATAGGTGATATAATTTATTTAGTAGAATAAATTATATTACTTATAACGAATTAAAAATAATTCAATAAAAGAGACAAAAAGCTCGGGTTTGTCAAGTTACGGAAATTCTATACAATGAGAGTTCAAGTTACACCTCTGTGTAACTTGAACTCTCATTGTATAGAATTTCACTCAAACAAATTACCCAATTTTTAATCGAAACTGAAACTGAAATATAAATTACATTAATAGCTTATGTACATCATTATAAGATCACGAGCCACTTAGTTTAAGACATTTTTTTCTTATTAACATTATAATGTGGGACTGTGTTAAAAAAACGTTATAAAGTGTAAATATGTAATAAGCAATAACTGCATAACATCACGGCAAGCAGAAAGAAAATGTGCGACGGTATGAAACTCCACACTCCTAGATTTCTGTAGAACAATATTTATGTGTGTATGTGTCTTCGATACATAAATGATATACTTTCGCAAACAAAACATATAATATCAATATTTTATACAGCTACTACTATTATACTTCAAATGGATAACAAAGGAGGTTGATGGTCTCGATTATTTACTCATTGCCTTTCTATGTCAGCACCGAAATATTTACAAATAATTAATGTGAAGATTGATGGAAGCAAACAACTAACAGCTAGCTATTTAAGGTTAGTTTCAATTGCGGGATACAACTTTTACTGTATTTATTAGTTTCTTGGGCAAAATCCTTTGTCCAACAGCGGCATGTGACGACGTCAAAGAGTCCATTTCGTGCAAGAAAAGAAAGGAATCCGTCAAATTAGTACATAACGCGTTATGAATACATAATGAGGTCAAACAGGGCACTCTCAAACATAGCCTATTATATTGAAATAAAATATTCAGTGCCATTCATTACTTACGTAGGTACGTACATTATATTCGACTCTGTCGTGCCGAAAGGCGTCGCCTCAGTTTGAACAGTTGGCCACACGTTCAATGGTATCCCTCGTGTTTTAATAAATTATTAGAAAGGCTTGTTTTCTCTTGTATTTCCGCTTTATAAGTTATGCTTTATCAAATATATATTCAATTTAGGTGTTCTTAAGATAAACTTCAGCTTTAATTCAAGATCTAAAAGTATTTGTAATAAACTTTTTGCAGTTTATTTAAAAGTAGAAGTAAGCAAATTTCATGCCGTTAACATTCAAAGAAAATAATATTTAGGTATTTTAAAAGCTATTACTCAAACAGAAAAAACCTGAAGCTAAGTTGATATGTATCTCGTATGGATGTATAATAGAATTGATTTGATATTCAATTGCTACATTTTGTGGTGTTCGGCGATCGGCCACGCGACCACGGGCCACACAGAATAGTTTGAAGACTTGAAGGAGGCTTAATGGAATGACACAGCCTTTGTGAATGCCGCCCAATTCTAATGCCTATTCAGATGGCATTTCACCTCTCATTGTTGCTTGATTTCGGGAAGTAATAGGTTATTTTATTAGCGTATAGATGCATTTTTAACGAGAATAGAAATCTTGTGTCGATGTAAATTAATGGTACATTGTTATTTTAGTTGTGAGGCATTGAAACGGATTACATACCGGTTAATATGGAGCATGTATTGTTAGAAAGTGGGACTTGTTGATCGAATTAAATTTAGTATGCTCTATACACTCTTCGACGATAACCTTTTAACTTTTGCTCTACATACACAATACACTCTTATTCATTCCTTTTGCACCAGATTTTTTCTAAAGTTTTTTTCCAATTCATCTCCATTTTTTAACTATCCCTCTGTACAGAGCACTGTGTTATTATATTTAAACAAGAATTATGTAATTGCTTAAACATAGCAATATGAAGGTTTAAAATCACGTTTTAAGCAATTCATGCTTGAAGGAATCATCTTTATTATAATTGTTTTCGCCTTCATAATTTCTTACTATCTATGTATTATCATGCTTTTAAAACAATGTGAAATATATGGAAATAAATTAATAGGCAAACATATAAAAATATAACATGAGGAATTATACAGTTTTATAGATTAAGACCATCTTTGAAGCGGGTTGTATCCCGTGTCAAAATTTGAGCTCAATCGGTGCAGAACTTTTTGAGTTTCTGAACCGTGCACAAACCTACTCAACATTTATATATATATATACTCGTATAGATATTACACCAGAGCAGTTACTAACCATGAGGCAACAGTGCAAGGAAAATAAGTTGCACTTTCATAATTTTTAATGGGATAGCAAAAACGCCTTCTACATTAATTAGATTTTCTGAACTATGACCAGGTTTCGCAGAAACCACGTACAGTTATCGTTGACATACAACTTATGTGGAAGGAAAGCGGTGTGGCGTGTGACGTAAAGCCCCATATAAATTTTACTATAGGCACATTAATGTCGCTACGTGAAATTGATTTGCTAGCAGAAACATATTATGATTGTGAAAACGGGGTTTACGATTTATTTACACAATACGATATCGACATTATAAACTATCACTGTACCGTTGTTATCAAATATTTATGAGGATTTCACTAACTTGGTTTCTGTAAATAGAAACTATAGTGAGAAATGATTATTAACATAGTCCTACTAACATTAGAAATGATTAAATCATTAGGAATTTAAATTAAAGAAATAACTAAAGTAAGAAAACAGAAACGAAACAGTGAATTTCATAGCGAAATTGAAAACTTGCAACAATAATTATGTTGCCTGGTTAGTCAGTGGCCTGTCAGAAGGCATTCTACGGTTCTCTTAGTGCAATTGTGTCGCAGTCATGAAGCTGGGATATCTTTACGCCTATTGAGATTATAAATTTTATTAGTTGCCATTCCTGTGCACTCGTAGCTAGTTCGATACCAGAAACCTATGACATCACACGTTTCAAATAACATTAAGTATTTTATTGTGAAAATAAAATGTACTATTTTAGTTGATACCGATCGTAGAAAAACAAAGTGCAATACATTTTTTATGTTAAATTTGAGTCCAATAAATTGTAAAAGACTTTCGCCAAAGTAAAGATGTAAGGTTCTTTAATTCAATCTCTATCCGACAATAGAAGTGATAACCCGAAAGTACTATGAAGGTTGATGAAATTGTGATTGTTAATTAAAGTTGACACAGAAATGCGAATGGTGAATTCAGAATCTTCATTTATTCGGTCACGGTTTGGCTCTTACGTTTAGCATTAAATGATTGACTCTGTTTCAATTTCGTCTAACACGAACGCAACAGTTGAACGAATCGGAACACGATTATGTGATTGTGAGAAAATTTTATACTTCAACGGTGCAACGGTGTCTATGTCTAACTTTAGTATGTGATTATGTTTCAAGCTGTGGAGACTTGCTATTGCTATGAATAAAACGCGTGAGTAAAAAATATTGGCAGCCAAAGCATTAATACATTCGTCTACCGAGTGCACAATGTCGACCTATTGATTGATATTTTTTGTCCAACATTATTTTCAGTGCCTTACATTCATGTGCCACCCTAGTAGCAACCATTGTTGTGCTCATCTCGTGCATGATCAAAATGCACTTCCGAACGATTAGTTACCAATGAATGTTTGAATTTGTTGTTAACTTTACCTCCTTTTGCGTTAATAGCGTTAGAATGTTTGCGAATTCTATTACGCATTGTGAAGTTAAAACCTTTTTTTTTGAATTTTATTGTGAAGTTTTCATCAATTGCGTGTTTAACTGATCTTGACTGATCCTGTTAGTTCAGAAGCCTTTATAGTTCAAGATTGTATGGAGATTCAATTAAACAAAATGATTTTATATCTTAATTTCACTGTTTATACATTGCATACATAAACAAAAGTTACATATGATTTTAAATTGTGACATTAGTACCAAAAACAAAAACAAAAAAAATTGCATTCTGAGTGCCACTTGTTTTTCTTTTACATATTGTATATTAATAGTTGTGGTATATTTAAAGATACTATAAACTATCTTGCCAAAATTAAAACTAAATTATCATGAAGTGATACATTACCACAAAGCCACCCACATTTGTATAGCGGGGTTGTTATGGACACGTTATGCGTCATAAATATTTCGGGAACATAAAATTAACACTCAAAAACATGGGCTTTCGAGGCACCGCAACGTCTACGGCCTCCTACAAAAAATATGGGTATCGCTTGCAGAACCACGACCGTCGTGACTCTGGACACCACAAAGGCATCTTTCTACTTACAATTTTAACTTTTATGGTTAGATATAGAAGGTATATGTTCCAACGTATACTTTGGTTGGACCTTAGTTTGGAAATGTTTGTTGATGGTTATACCAAATTAACTTTAATTCGTTTGTGATATGGTATAGTTTAGATCGTATGATTGATATATGTTCGGTTTCTTTTCTTATCAAAGGACACACTTGTTGACATGTTGTCTAATTGATTGGTGGTTCTCAGTAGGGGTCTAGAGCCGTACAAGGAGCGGAACCTTTGAAAAATTATTTGAAATTGATAATATGTATATGACTTCACAAGTGGAACATGCCACTGCTGTTTTTTGTACGTATTAGGATTTTGTGGCCGTTATTGCTAGTTAGACATGAAGGTTCAATTAAAACTTAATTACTTATTACAATGGATGTTGTATTTTGCTGTGGAGTACATATTGCATAAATTACATAATTAGTAAATAAACGCTTAAATAATTAGCTACTGGTATTTTTTTACGTTCAACGCTCTTTATCTAAAAACTCCTTCAAAATCAGCGTTTTAATTCGATCTTTAAAATTAGGATAATTATAAAGAACTGACTATATTTTGAATTTATGTCGTTTCAAATAGAAACTGACATGTAGGTACGAGTACGTATAAAGGCGTTGCAAAAATTGACTACTGGGGCGGCTTCCTTTGACGTTAGGTGGTCCCAACCGCGGCTCGCACCAATGATGTGATTATAATAGCGACACTTTACGCAGACACAGACACATTAATCCAATTCAGTAGTATAATTTATATTGTGAGGGATTTTACTAGCAATGGCTATTCAACAAGTCAAACTAATTATTCAATATATTTTAATAAACTCCATTTTACTGTTAAAAATAAATAATTCAACAGTCAAACAACTACACAAGGATAAACTATTATGATGTGGCAATCTAAATCTAGGAATTACTTTTTTTCTTTAGAAGTTGATACTCGTATAATGTAGCAAGTCCAACCCAACAAGAAAGAAGGCCAGAAATAGTTTAAGTGTTATCGTTTCTGCTTGACCGCACTCGTGTAAAAGAAATTGGATACTCTGGCTTGAGAACACAGTCAATGAAACGTAAAATTACGAGGTGATCGAGGCCTACTGATGACGTGGGTACATATTATTGTCGAGAGTATAGAAACCAAGATGCCGTGCAACTCATTGTCGCAGTTTTGTAATCTATAATGTATTGGTACCATTCATACTATAAGCATAACTTGAGTTTAATATAGTTACCGGTGTGCCTACTATTGCTATTGACAATCAATGTAAAGATTTACCTTCTCGCATTTACATCATAAGTCGTTTTCAATAACCTAATTGTACATTATTATCTATAGAAAGCCAAATGTACCTCAGAAAATCATGTGAACGAGAAGAATATATTCTTCGCAACTAGAATACACACAATCAGAGAGCTTAGGTATAATAGCGGAGTCGATCCGCAACTGGTTTTCTCATACTATTTGCGATTCAGTCGGATATCGTCTGAAGTTGTAGGAATATGCTACGAGTTATATTTTCCGTGAATTGATTTATAACATTCTATTTAACAGGTCAAGGTCGTATGAATCAGTTGGGAGGGGTGTTCATCAACGGACGTCCGTTGCCGAACCATATTAGGCTGAAGATCGTGGAAATGGCAGCAGCAGGCGTTCGGCCCTGTGTTATCTCAAGACAGCTGCGCGTCTCTCACGGATGCGTATCCAAGATACTCAACAGATATCAAGTGAGAACCGAAACATTTTTACAACAAACTACTTATACTTCTCAAATTAAGTTTAATTATCTAATATTTATTTTTTTTGCTTTTACTTAATGGCCGCAGTAGACTGATTAGTGTTATTTTGTCCACAGGAAACTGGCTCCATTCGTCCCGGTGTGATTGGAGGCTCGAAGCCGAGAGTTGCGACACCGGAAGTTGAAAACAGGATAGAAGAGCTGAAGAGACAAAACCCAGGTATATTTTCCTGGGAAATTAGAGATAAACTAATTAAAGAAGGCATTTGTGATAAAAACACTGCACCTTCAGTCAGTTCGATTTCGAGACTAATAAGAGGAGGCAAAAGGGACGAATCAGATCCTAGAAGAAATCACAGCATTGATGGTATTCTAGGTAAGTTATACTTACCTCGGAGTTATTCAAACATTTTATATTAGGACTTAACATGGAAACTAAAAGTAGTGTGGCTCTATATACACACATCGTTGGCATTTATATCGGAGAGTAGTATAGTTTGCAGCAGCACTTAAGCGCTTGAAGAGTACCGCGTTGTGTTTGCATTTAACTTTATATTGCTTCAGTTTGTTGTTGTGCTCACTTGATGAAGGATTATGACTATGCTGTGGTTTATTCTGAGTCTATTATTTTCAATGCACAAGGTCACTATAGGTAGGCATTAAGAAGCATTTAGTAATACTGACTAATCCTTGGTGGATAATATTTTATCGTTTAAGAAGTCTCTGACGAAACCTTAGTGGTAATGACGCGTAAATAGCTTGTCGTGTCATCGTAGTCCTTAACGCTGATTCGAGACCATAATCACTTAATTTAGTTCAAAACATACTATTATTATAAATTTATTCCTATAATGAGACTGTCGGAACGTTCGCAAACTTCACAAAATGGCGTATAAAGTTAATAATCCACGTAAAAGTGAAGCGGGCGCGGCGCGCGCGCACGCTACAGCAGCGCCCCTTGTGTCGGCTTCGAAATTGTAGGTTATAAAAATGAAATTAGTATCCAAACGTGTTATTATCCCATCGCGTTTGGCCGTGGGGCTTGCATTACGACAATCTGTCCGTACTGCACGTCTTGTGCCGTATAGCTATCCAATATAAAATGGCGCTCCTAATATCCCGGTTCAGTGACGGAGCATGGTTTTGCCGGCGAGATTCTGCGCACCGATAAGATTATGCATATTAAGTTGTGCACGGCTAAAATAATATCTACACTGGAAAAGCGGGCCTGCGTATTGAAAATTTGCCTTTCGTACTTGTTTTGTTACTCTGCTAACGGTAAATTTCAGTCCTGGATTTTACATACGTACGGAAAAAAATTATTATTATTGCAGAGTATACGGTTGAACAAGCTATACGAAGTTTACTATTGAAAAGGTGCAAATTTTTTATTTGGATCTCAACAGTCTCAAAACGGCACTAAATTTCTTAATGTCTTTCCTTGTCTTGTAACAGTATAATAAAATTATATTTACTGAAGTTCCGAAGAATTAATTAGCAGCTACTAGGCGTTGTGTAATGTAGTTATGATTAATTTAATAGAAACTGCGTGTGGTCCGTGGTGCAGTTCCAATATTATAATCGACATAAAACAAAAATAAATGAATATTTATAAAGTGGTAATAAAAGCTATTGCGACAACAATATACATTAATTTTAGGAATCATCACTTTAAACATAGTGAAAAGATGCAATATATTATATTTTAATAACGAAAAGCTATTTGCCACAGTTATAGACTAAAACCTAGAATTTGATGTTATCTACTTAAGTTGCTTGACAAACTGCTTAGCTGTGCACCAACAAAGACTTCGTTTATTCAAAAGGTCCATCATCTTGTGAAGACTCAGATACCGAGTCGGAGCCAGGCATCACATTGAAGAGGAAACAGCGTCGTTCCAGGACTACCTTTTCTGGAGATCAACTTGAAGCTTTAGAACGCGCTTTTACAAGAACTCAGTACCCCGATGTCTACACTAGGGAGGAACTTGCGCAGAAAACCAAACTCACCGAAGCAAGGGTTCAGGTAATTATCAGTGGCACCTCAAAATAATTTGTCCGTGTGAATGATAGATGAACGCAATCAAATAAACCTATTGTTGGTTCCATTCACTTCCCGCCCCTATAAAAGCGTGGCACTAGAAAAACATAATTACGTTTATAATTAATTACGACACTACGAGTAGGTAGAGCTACCATATGTTCAGCTACCGATATTTTATATTTTTTTGTTTTATTAGGAGCCCAATATAATTGTAGCTTTTGATGCGAACTACAATTATGTTAGAGTATAATTATGTATGGATGTTAACTTCTTTTTGAAATAATAGTTTACGTAAGAATATTTCGTATTAAAGATTTACAATAATCAAATTAAATATTAAGATGAATTCTAAATGAACACAAAATTAATGTTATTTTTATTGTGCCTAGGTATGGTTTTCTAACAGAAGAGCTCGTCTCCGCAAGCAACTTAATTCACAACAGCTGAGTGCTTTTAACACCATGTCCTTACAATCTGCTTTCCCATCCGTTCACCAACAATATGAGCCCCCATCTACTTTCAATGCACAATGTGCTTCCTGGCAACAATCTTATTCCTCAGCTTTAGGTACTAGTTCAGTTTTAAACTCAGCTCTTGCGCCTTCTCTACACCAATCACCGTTAACTGCGCCCTCTGTCTGTCAGTCAGCACTTGCTGCGTCTTCTCTTCATCCACCGACATCATCATCCTTCTCCTCTGGTAACTTAACTCCTCTATCACATTCATCGGAACTCGCAACCCCTCTGCAAGCTCCCTCTGATGCTACACCTCCCAGCTCAAGTCCGACATCGACTAGTCCATCGGCGAATCAGACAAGTGCTATTACATACCAGCATTCTACTTATGCGAATCCTAGTGAGCCAGTCTCACATCCATATGGCTACGGGGATTATTCAAAGCCGGAGCACGCAATGTCAGCCCATAACCACTGGACATCAAGGCAACTCAGTGGACACGCGCAAAACAAACTGGCAGAAGTTGGTGCTTGGCCTGAAAATTATAGGTAAGCTTTACAACTTACATTAATTTGAATTCCTTACATCATTTTAACGTAGAGCTGTTTTGAATTAAAACATCTCAGTAATCCCCGACGGATTTTATATATCTCTATGAATTATTAATGTCAAGCTTCTTATATCTGTTGGCTTATGAGGATGAATATACAATTACAATAAAGTGACCTTTACTACGGGGCATTTAAATAATTACCTATTTATTATATGAATACTCAGTTGGATACCCTGATTCTTACACTAATAATAGGTTTAGGGTGCTTATTTACAATGACATCATTTTGGGTTAGTCATAAGGCATTTGTAGTGATCTATGACGTGTAGTGCAACGTTGATCGTATATACCTACTAAGTACTACGGGTATAGCATACGGTGGCTATCGCACGGGCGTGGGTTTCAATCGCAAATCGGGGTGCGTTCGTTTTATTTATTTTCACCTTCCTTTATCATTAGCCGAAGCGGCCGCTAATCAATTAAGAGTGTAAGAAGTCGGCCATTATACGCCGCGCGGGTGGTTATTACAGCGCGGGCCGTAATACGCCGATCCGATCGTGGATGCAATAGGGCTGCGAATTTTATAGTGATTTTGAATCGATTTTTAATTAAAGTTTTAGTTAGTTATTTTGAATTCTCATGCATTATTCAATGTATTATTTTAGAGGTGAGTTTATTACGACAGAAATAAGGCCTTAGAAAACATTTCACTCGTGCTTTGTGGATGGTATGTGTAACTACCAAAGTGAATTTGTCGAATGACAACGTGACAAATACATTGTCGCTTTGTACTCTATACGGCGACGACATTTATCTGTGTTATCGAGACAAAGCACGTCTATAAACCTTACATTGGACCACACACAATATCTAGTCTGGCACAATGGCAGCCAAACTAATAATATATGGGTTAGCTATATCCATGTGTCGGACTGTCTTATCTAGTTCTCTACGCATGCTTGATTGACGTAACACCTCGCTCTATTTGTTAGTTTCGTCCCCCAAAAATATTGTATTGTGTACTGAAGTGTAGATAATATGTTTCATATCGTTTTCAGAAGATGATTGTAGGAGAAATTACGTGTCTTTCTACTTACTTACTTACTATTTCAGCCGCAAAAGCTGTATAAAAAAATGACCATGCGTCATAATAAATCAGCTAGCTGCCTATCTATTAGCTGCGAAGTTAATATGCAGTTTTCATACAGAAGGACGTGATAAAAGTGAAATAAATAGTTTCACAATGTCCTCACAAGACCAAGTTTTGAGTATCACTCGAATAATATAACAACACAAAGCAAATTTACTAACTGTAATAGAACTTAAGCAACAAAAGACCATAGAAGCTAATAAACTTATTTAATTGACTTATGACACAAATTATCAATAATGTTATCAAAACTGAAATTTCTTCAAGATCAACATAAATGAGGTAGTAATCGTTACTGATATTAGAAATCTTGGAACACAATACGTTGCGGATAACAGACACACAGTAATAAACACAGCTTGCTTTGTACGGCGAGTGGCGATTAATGAGAGGCCGAACGTGACATTAGTGCACTGAACCTAAGCATTATGTTAACGCGAACCGGGTATTAAAACTTATCTACAGCTATTTGCATTCGACTTCCTAAACTGCAGTTGGTCTTGCGTGCGGTGACCGGTACCGTGCAACCACCTTGCACTTGCTTCGTTCACTTTCCACACGAAACGTTCAAAAAGTTATTGTTTTCGCACGTGTGCTATTTACATGTAAAATATCTATATACATATTTACAATTTAGGAGATGTTAAAGAAAATTATTGCCATTTAACTGGTATTTTAGACCGATGAGAAAATCTTTGAGGTGAAAATCTTTATATATTCATACGGCTATAAATTCCTTTTTACTAGTATATTTGTTTCTACGAGTAATGTAGGTTTTCGTTGTGATTACTTCTAGGATGGCATAAAAGCAACATATAATATATACCGGTTTGTGAAATGAGACACAAATGTCAATAAAGGAAAAGGGTTAATATTGAACCAATAGATGGAGGCCCACGTCTCGTACCCCGTTTTTCGTATTAATAACAACCTTTTCCTCGCCAGGGTTAGTTCTCAATAAGCTTAATACAACCTTTATAACGAATGCTTGCCGTCATACAGCAGTGACGTAATGTTATGAGTATGTTCATTGTGCTCATAATTCTAAATGTAGGGCTGACATTACCGACCTCGGTAGTTTATGAGCGATGTACGACACTAATGTACCTTAATAATGTATTAGCCACCGTATTAAGTATGAATTAAAATTTTATGGCACGCTCAGTCACGAAGTGCTTCCGAAAATTCCTCTTAGAGTCAACTGTCTACATACAAACTCTGTTAAATTATGTTGTTTGGTAGCAATGTGGTAACATTACAGCTTAAAGTGTGTTATTACTCCATTATTTTATTATAATCAATAGGTTCTCGACCGTATTCGTAGTCGGAACGGATAAAGCGAAATTATGCAGACAATAATCTCCCACGCAAGCATTTTATGTTGCACCTACAATTAGTGTTAAAGTTAAATTTAATGTTCTAAGTAAAAGGCAGGATATAAAAAAATTGTAGCAAAAAGTAAAAGACCTCGACTTTCGTCCATGAATAGCCTTCAATCTATTCTTGCACAACTCGCTGCTATTTTCAATGATATTTGTTTTTTAACTCTGTCTGTTAATTTTGTATATTTTTCTAATAGCACCCATGGAAAGAAGTGGAAATTTTCACATTTATACTCGTAATATTTCTTCATCGATATTAATCATAGCTCACGTCCACGTCCAGTTAACGTGAAAATCATATTGCAACAACTGCAATTATAGTACTCAAGTTTTACAACATTAACTTTTTTTTTTTGTTGCAGTTCATTTTTCGGAACGAATCCGTCTCATTACGCCTCGCATGCCCATTCGCCTACTGAGGCCAAGTCAGGCTATCCCTACTTAGGCCAACTCGGAGGAATGGATATGGGCAGAGTACACTAGAGAATAAATTTACTAACGAACTGTGGCACTGAGTGCCTACCAATGTACAATAGATTTGTATTTATATAACTATTTTATATATTAATCAGATTCCCTGTTACTAGACATATCACAAAAGTGCCTTCATGTTACAAACGGAAAGAATCAAGTATTTATACGGATTATATTTGTATATTATATTTATTAACGAAGTAGGTATGATGTAAAAGCAATGGTAGGTATTTTGAGAGACTTATTATTCTTACTTTCATTGTATTATAGAGCTTTACTATAGTTTAAAAATGTATAAAAAAATAGTTTTATGATTGTATTATTACCAGTTCCTGTATTGAAAGTGTACATTGCAAAATTTTCCCCTTTTTGTCGGTAGATATAGATCGTTACTACATGTTGTAAGTTGTTATAATGTAAAGTGTATTTAGTTATAAATCAATGTAAGTAATTCTTTAATCATGTTTTAAAATCCAGTAAACATAATAACCTAATAATTTACAATCACCAAAAGATTAGTTATGTTTTCCGCGTACATAATTTTCTCTGTAATTTTTAATCAAACGTGTGAAAATTGTGCTATTTCTTACAGTGATTGTACAAATCGGTCCTAAAATTGCCTTGAGAGATGTTGTGATTTAAATAAATGATGTATTTATTTATAGGTATATTATGTTAACTTAGATTTAACTTAGTAAATATAAATAGTAAGTACTTTGTAAAGTAACGGTTTACCCTAAAAATAAATGAATGCTAATTTGATCTTTTGTTTTTTATTCTTAAATTGATAATATTTAAATACTGAAGTATAAAATTACTACTGTTTTAAAGTAATCCCCGGTTTTTGACCGATTCCCGGACCAGGACGGAGCTTGCATGGTGGTAGAAATATATTACCGATTACCGACAGGTTACCCGGTGAAATGTAGAAAAGGAGACAAATTGTGGTTAATGATTTAAAGGTTTTTAAATCATAATATTTATATAATCACTAGTATTTATATACTTATTCTTCGTGGATAGCATGGTATTATGGGCGTACGCAGCTTTTGTCCTGTGCCAGGTTTGGTGAAAAAATATTTAATGGCTGCTTCAAATAATAAACGAAAAATAAACTTTACGACAATAAAATTAATACGTTGGTAAGGATTACTTTGCCAACCAATGAATTTACTAACCAATAAATAGGTTAACATTAAAATCTTGAGTGGTAAATTTATGAATTTATAGAGGCGTATGAAGTTGTGTAAAATTCAATACCTTTTAATTATGTGTACTTGAACTAACCAGCTAGATATTTAATTTAATAATAATAATTTCTACGACGTTTTTCAAACAACGGCATCTGCTGCCAAACTAAGCAGAGCTTGAACTATGGGTACCAGACAACTGATATAAATACACATATACATATTTTTTTTGTAAATACATACATATAATACGTAGAAACACCCAGACCAAATCAAGCATTAAATGTTCATGCACACAAATATTTGACTTGAGTGGGAATTGAACCCGAGAACTTGGGCGTAGCAGTAAGTTACAAAAACCACCACACCATTAATAATTACTGCACATCTTAAGATTCAGATGGATATGGATATTTTACATAAATATTAACTTAAAACTTTGCTTTAAATCTGAATATTAGCTTCTAAACTTCAGTCTAAAGACTCTCGATAAATAATTTTGTCTGAAGTGACCATTATATAAGTTTAAAGATTATGACTGATAAACTCGTCATTATTATGAAGTCGGTTTGTTATTAAAGTAATATCTGGGATATGATTTTTGCATGTTGTAGTTTCTTAATGGAAAAAATAAAATAAACAAGTGTCAGACTAAATAACATTACTGTAGTTTATTATATCAATTAGTTTGACAGTAAATGTCTCTCAGGTTAAATATTTCTCTAAATATTTATTTAGGGCTATTTATATAAGAACAAAAAATTGATCGAATCCGGCAAAACTCTGCGACATCTGTCTCATTTAGTATGGCTATCTCAAGAGAAGGCCTGGAGGACGGTAACCACAAAAGAGAGTTAAATGTCAGATTTAATTTAATTTAATTTAAGTTAGATTAAGTCTACCGAAGAAAGAAGAGGAGAGCGAAGCCCGATAAATTGGGATAATTCTAGACAAAGAATTACACCAACATAAAAACAAAGTATAAACTACAATATGTTAATACCTATATACGTCTGCCTAAGCTTGTTAGCTTACATTCGTCAAACACAGGTGACATTTCAGTTGAATAGGTCTTCATAGAGACCACCATAATTCTGACGTTTTCGTTAGACCGATGTTATCTGCATGTCAGGGACAGACTGCCGTATCTCTGTTTGCACACGGTATTCTCCTGTGACTGACACTGAATTCACTCGTTCTTTAAATACTTAAACCGAATATCTGATTTGAAAAACTAGGAATTTTAGAAAGTATAGTTAAATTCAGAAAGCAAGATCGTAGAGTATCAATTAAATAATATATATGTACTTATACATGTTGTCCCAGAAGTCGACGTCAAGCCGGAATCGGGTATATATATCGTGTCGATAGGTAATAATAGTTAACAGAAAAATATATCAAAAAAAAATCTTTGCTATCTATTTAAAAAATTGAAAAAAATCCCTTTTTGTTATGTAATCCTGAATAATGCTTCTAAAAACTGTTGTTTAAAATTTACAGCAAACTGCTCCATTTCAAAAGGAAATATAATTTTTTTCCCAACCGAGTATTAAAAATTAAAATGGAATATGGAAAACTGATTTGCAAAGGGTTTCTTATTTTAAAAAAAAAAAGGTTATGAATTGACATAAGCAAACCTATTTTCGTTTTTTAATTTACATTAAAAAGCTACCTGTAGTCGCGGCGATTGTGTGCACATCTATAATTTTAATTATTTTGAAAAGGCGATACACGATTTAAAATATTATGAATTTTACGAAACAAAATTAGTGAATTTGAATTGGAGATGTCATAAATTTGACTGGCGATATTTACCTGGCGTTCATAGAATCCGGATGACTACACTAGTGTAGTTATTATGTATATGTACACTTATTAATCATTTACTTATGTTGCGTTAAAACTATGTTGTTCATGCTATCTCGTTTCATATTTTTAGTTTAATAAAGCCTTCATCATCATCATCATCATCAGCCTATCGCAGTCCACTTAGTTCGAATTTAGGTTTCTCGCATCCAACTCCTCTAGGACCAGTATCTGACTACAATCCACATTGTAAAAATATAAATTCGACTGCCCTATTGGTCTAATGGTTGACTAACCATTAGAACAAACTCAGGGTCACTGACTCTGATTGCTAAGCTAGAGGTCATGGGTTCGATTCCCACCCAGGACATATAATTGTGTGATGAGCACGATCATTTGTTCCCTACATTTGATCTATATTACACCCAGACAGAGCACAAATGATACGTGAAGCGAAAACTTTGTACCCCTACGCTTCTTGTCTTCTGGATTATATTGATCTACCTATGTTTCTTCGCGAATAATGATTTCAAAAACACGTCTTGACCTCCCATTTTCAAAACGTAGACGCATCTCACGGCACCATTCCACATGGACTTCTTCTCGTTCCGGAGAGCAAACGAGGTACCCAACGACAACAAAGCTTCCTTATATTTAGATGTTCATGTAATATGGTATGAACACTAACCGGACTGCCTAAGATTTTCTCTATGTCCCTGTATGTAATTCGTGGGTCATCTCGCATAAGCATTTCAGTAGTCCACATATTTTCAGCAGTGGCTGCTGTTTCAGGGCGTCCAGATCACATTTAAAGTCGTAATATATCAAATGTTCACGTTTATCATTTCTCACTTTTTCGTCTATAGCAGACGAAAAAGTGAGAAATGATGACAGTATAACACTTGTAATTTTTTTTTATTGCTGTAAATGGTCTTTTGTGTTCGAAGTTAAAAAAAAATGCCTTTTATTTTATGTGACACATAGATAGTGACCTACGCGTGGAGAAGAAGTCCATAAAGCAATAATTAAAATAAACATTAAACACACTATTGCTTAAATGACACACGACATACACACACGTACACGCCATACTTACTCTTTTGTTTATTGTTAAAATCTACGATCAAACTGTAGGTTAATTATATAATAAATGTAATATAATATGATGAAACTTTTGATTACAGAGGTTTAGTCTTTGACAAAAGAACCCAAACTTGAAACAAACCCTAGTCTAGCAGTTGACTATTTAAGGCTGTCGATGAAGATGATGATGATTATGTACTTGCTTAGAAATATATAAGTGTGTTTATCAGTCTGGTTACCATAGTACGAGCTCTGACTAGTTTTGCAATCAGACTGCCATTTGTGAGATGTGTTGAGTTATTATTATTATTATTATATTTTTTTACACACCTTACCTATACAGTTGCAGTAACGCGAACGCTACCACATTCCTACATACTACACCTTTCAGCCCTATATGGATGTAATTAGGTAGTCCAATGCAAGCTATATACTTTGTTAAACACATTTCAATAAGTAATATTCCGGAGTATTCTGTACTCGTAGAATTATCACATGATTAAAATAACATAGTTACTGCAGAAAGTACATAACAGAATATTTATTTAGATATTGTTTCTATTTACAATAAAGATATTTATTTTAGTGTATATCTACTTTTTTTTTTAATATTTAGAGATATACATATATAGAAAGAAAGAGTAGAATCTACTATCTAATTAAGTTATACCTAAGGATGTTAATGTAGGAACATGATTCTAATTGTGTGACCTGTGATTCAAACAGACTAGAAATGGATAATGTTATTTTAATGTTACCTGTTTAATTGAGGGCACTTGTTATAGTATTTTTACTGAGATTTGTAATTATTTTTTTAATATTCAGTGCTCTTTGTCAGTATTGTTTGAAGACGGTTCAACTTTTTTTTAGAGAATTTATTTCATGACAAAATGATGATATTTTACAAGTACAGTGGTAGTTTTTTGTTTA